AATAACCGACAAAGAATTAGGACAGGACACACACACACACACACACACACACACACACACACACACTGAGAAAATCCAAATTGAAAAATGAGTGAAAAAGATTAACCAAGAAATTCATAATGGAAATGTGGATTATTAATAAACCTATGAAAAGGTGCTCACTCTCATAAGTAACCAGGAAATGATGCACTTAAACCAGAATGAAATGCCACTTCACGCCCCTAAGACTGGACAACATGAAAATGTCTGAATACCAAGAGGTGCCAGGAAGTGGTTCAAGGGAAACTCTCCTAAATGATAGTAGAAATGTAAACTGAAAAGAATTTAATATTAGATATACCTTGCAACCCAAGAAATTTACTCCTAGGTGATTTATCAACTAGAAAGACCCTTATACGCACCCGTAACGAGATGGAAACGAACAAGTTCACAGGAACATTATTATAAAAGCAAAAACAGTCATCAAAATGTGAGTAGGACAAATTCATACAATCAACGAGCATGCTGCAGTAAAAATTAGTGAACCAGAGTGACACACATGAAGATCAATCATTCTTAGAAACGTAATGTAATTTTAAAAATCAAAAGCAAGTTGCAAAAGAATGCACATTGCATTCTATCATTTGCATAAGGGTTAAATTTCCAAAGCAATGCAGTAAGAGTTGCGTTGGCAGTAAAAGTTCATGAAATCAATTAATTAGTTAGCTGATTAATTATATATTCATTAATGACATATTGATTAATTAACACAAAATTTAGGAATGAGATTACCTGTGTAGGGTGAGGGGAGCAGAAACAGAGGAATGGGAGAGGAAGCCTCAATCTTCCCTTCTTAAGGTGTGTGGTGGGTACACCACTGTTCCTTGTATTTTGTAGATCTTCAATATGCAAATGAACGATTAAAAATAAAAAACAATGATCCGGATAAATTAAAAACCACAACAAAGAAGCATCCTCTTTAGCTAGGGCAGGTTGTGAATCTGAGAAATGAGTTTCCCAGTAAAGGCCATCCAGCTAGCTTGAGGAAGAATCTTGGGGATTCCTACTTCCTCTTCAGAGCGGCCCCAGCTTCCCCCACAACGCAGCGCTCCCCACCCTTCTAGGCCCTCACAGACCCCAGGCCTGTCCTCCCGAACTATACCAGCGCTGAGCTGCTCAGACCTGTTCCCATATATCCAATTTTAACAATGTTTTTATATATATATATATATATATATATATATATATATATATATATATATTTCCCCAAGGACCAGTATCTAACCGAGGCATTAAGGGTGGGTACAGCTCACAGCGCTCTGCTTTCCCTGAGCCGAGTGGCCTTAATCAGGAACAGTCCGAGAGGAAATCTTTCAAGACAAGGGTGACATTTCCGGCCTCCAAAGAGAAATATTGGGAAGATAGTTGGCACCTGATTATTTAATATCACCATCTGTCTTTTATTTTCGAGCAATTTAGGCCTGGGAATAGGCTATCGTCTCAAAAATTGTAGTGGTGTGAGTCAAAGGGATTGATTAACTATTTAGGGCGTTGTGTGGGGGGAATGTCAAGCCGCCCCTAGGTGTAATCCGAAAAGCTAATCTGTTCAAACTGCCTTGATCTCACTTTTGAAGTTGTCGCTATTTTTGGTGTTAGACCCCTGCTTGAGTGACAGCCTGAGGATACTCATTCCTCTTTCTCCACAATTTTCAGACAGTCATCTGCATTTCCAGAGGGTTGATGACAGGGCAACTTGGAGTTTAAAGACAGCATCTGCATTTGCATTTCAATAGTTCCATAATTCTCTGAAAGCATTGAAATCTCTTCAGTATGCCTCATTGTTTAAATAGTGAAGGTAGCCACATTTTGTTCAAGCTTCATAAATCTCAGAAAAAAAAAAATTGGGCTATTGTATCCAAAGCCTGTTCTACAGAAAACACTCATCTCCCTTCTTTTCTTTTCTTTCTTTTTTTCTTTCTTTCTTTCTTTCTTTCTTTCTTTCTTTCTTTCTTTCTTTCTTTCTTTCTTTCTTTCTTTCTTTCTTTCTTTCTTTTTTTAAATGCTAAAAGCATGCTTCTTAAGCAGCACAGGCACTACATCACATCTGTACATAGTTAAAATCTTTAATCCATTTGGGTTCTTATGGCCTGGAATCAAGGTTCGAGGATAAAATAAAGGGGAGAGGAGGACATACAGTCTGAAACACATTATAAGGACATCAGCAATTTTTAATTTGGAATTGCAAAAAAACAAACAAACAAACAAACAAACAAAAAACCTCTCCCTGTTGGAATGGAGCAAGTTTGTTCTTAAGAAAATACTTCCACTTAACACCTGGGCGGTACCTTCATTGGTAGGTGTGTCACCTGTTTGGGAGGATCTGCGGTTACTTGTAACCAACTAGAAGTAGAAGACTTTTGTCAACTGTTTTGGTACAAGGAAATGAACCCTGGAGTTAAAATAAGAAATTCTGAATTCAAATACAAGGCCGCCGGGCACCTTTCTGTGCTGGGCCTTCGAGCCCTTCCCCGAGTGCAAACACACATTATCCATCAAGTCATTTCGGAAAAGTGACGGTTCTGTGTAAACTGTATCAACAACTGGAAGTGTATAAAAGCTCGCTTCGATTGTAAAATCGTGTGAGGTCAGTCATCTTTTTCATGTTTTCAACCAGTACCTCAAATTTTTCATCTCACTCCATCCAGCTGAGACACCGAGAGGTGGTAATATGTTTACAAGGACAAAACTATGGGTGGAAAAAAAAAATAGAGCTCCACAGAGGTCAATTCAAAAATCTATCATTCTACCAAACTGTTTTTTTTTTTTTTTTTTTACCTCCTTGCCATTTCAGAACCATTCTTTTCCCCCTCGTGGCGTTTCATAGTGCATTTCAAACACGCTGCTGCGACTTTGTGAAACATGTGCCCCCTTGCACAGGCACATGGTCTGCAATCCCGGGAAGCAGTCCCGGGAAGTCGGCCCACCCTCAGGGCCCAGGTGCAGTGGGGACTAATCCGGATTCCCGGGGCCGTGCAGACGCGAGCTGCGGTCTGCACCCACCGTGCCAGCCTCGGCCATCCCCAGCAGCCGGAAAGGTTCGTGACCTTGAGGCTCCTCGCTTCGCACATCCAGGGCCGGGAGCAAGTGCCTCTTCCCGGGAGCGGGAGCCAGCCGGGCGCTTCCGTGCCCCGGAGCGGCCGCCGGAGGCCGCGAGCCGAGACTCTTCCTCCGCGCGCAGGAACAAAGCCCTGCGGCCCCGCCGCACGACCGGGCACCCGGGACCGCAGGCCCGGCTTGAGGGGGGACGCCACACCCCTCGCTTGGGCTGGGACCATGAAGCCGAGGCTAAACATAGGGCTAGCCTCGGCCCCGGGCTGCAGGGCGCGCGGCTCTCGGGAGAGTTGGGAGGGGAGCGTGTGCGGACCGCGTGTGCCTGTGCCTTTATGTGCCGGAGCCCGCGGGCGCGTGTGCGCGGCTGTGCTCGCGGCGGGAGGCGGGCGGCGCGGCGGGCCGGGCGGAGGGGAGCCCCGGCGGGGCGGGGCCGGGGGGTGCAGGGGGGAGGTGCGGGGGGGTGCAGGGGAGGTGCAGGGGGGGTGCAGGGGGTGCAGGGGGCACAGGGGAGGTGCAGAGAGGTACACGGGGGTGCAGGTGAGGTGCAGGGGCTGCAAGGGAGGTGCAGGGGTGCACAGGGGGGTGCAGGGGGCGCAGGTGCAGGGGCTGCAGGGTAGGTGCAGCGTAGGCGCAGGGGGCGCAGGGGGGCTGGCGGGGGGGGGGCCGCTCCGAGGGAGGACACTCGCGTCCTCGGCGGCCCGCCACCCGCGGCGGGGGCGGGGGCGGGGGCGGGGGCGGGGGCGGGAAGCCCGGGCGGCGCTGGGGGCCGCCTCTGCGCGGAGCGAGCGGGAGCCGCCGCCCGGCCGCCGCGTCACCGAGCCGGGGCGGGAGCGGGAGCCGGCGCGGGCGCGGGAGCGGGAGCGGGAGCGGGAGCCGGCGCGGGAGCCGGCGCGGGAGCCGGGGCGCGCGGGGAGGCGCCGAGGCCCGGAGCCGCCGCAGCCGCGCAGCCGCGCATCCGCCCAGCCGCGGGTCGCCGCGCCCCTGGGGCCCCGGCCGGCGGCGGGAGCAGCAGCGGGTCCCGGAGCGCCGCGGGCCGCCCCCGCCCCCACCCCACCCCCGCCCCCCGCCCCCGGAGCACCGGCCCCGCGCGCCGCGGGCGGCGGGAGGAGCCCGCACGGCCCGGCCCTTTGTCCCGCTCGGAGCGGCGGCTCGGGCCGGAGCGCGCGGGCGGGCGCGGGTCGGGGCCCCGGCGGACTCGCATCTGTGCCCCGAGGCTTCGGGGGAGCCCGAGGGCAGGGCGCGGGCGCGGGCGCGGGCCGGGGGCCGAGGACGGGGGCGCCCCCTCGGGTCGCCGGGCGATCCCCTTGACGTCTCTGCCACTTGGAGGCGGCTGCGGCGGGCGTCGTCGGAAGAGGGGGAGGGCGAGGAGCGCGGGGGCGGGGAGAGCCGAGGCGCAGCCCGCGGCCCGCCCGCCCTCCGCGCCCGCGAGCCCCGCACCTGCGCGCCGGGGCCACCTGCAGCCGCCCGCGCCCCGCAGCGCCCCGCAGCGCCCCGCAGCGCCCCGCAGCAGCGCCCCAGCGCCGGGCTCCCCGGGGGCCGCAGGCTGCGCACCGGGGCGCTCCGCCCGCCCAGCCCGGCCCGGCCCGGCCCGGCCCGGCTCATTGTGCGCCGAGCTCCTTCCCGGGGGCGGGGAGGGAGCCGCGCCGCCGCCGCCGCCGCCGCCGCCGCCGCCGCCGTGGTCGGTCGCGCGGCGCGCAGGGCGGGCGGAGGCAGGGCAGCCGAGGCGCTCGAGCCTCCCCGCCGGCGCTCGGGGCTCCCCCTCGGCCGCGGCCGCCGGACCTGCCCGCTGCGCCCGGAGGGCCCCGGCACCATGGCGTGACGCGCCCCCGCGCCTCGGCCGGCCCGCGCCCCCCGCGCCAGGCCCCCGCGCCAGGCCCCCGCGCCCGCGGCGCTGCGGACCCCGAGCACCCTCAGGAACCAGCCCGGGCGGCGGCACGACTCGCTCTCGCCAACCTCATGGGCAGTGGCTCCCGCCGGCGATGTGAGTAGCGCGCTCCTGTTTCGTGGCCCGGGGGGTGGGGTGGGGGGCCGGGGGCTGCGGGGACGCTGAGCGCCCGAGGTGCGGGGCTGGGGCGCCCCGGGGCGCTGTCGGGGAGCTGCGCGCTTGCGGGGCGCGCGGTGCCTCGGGCGCGGGCGCCGGCCGTGCGGGCGCCTGGGAGCCCCGGTGGCCCGGGCTGCCGGGGACCCTAAAGGGTTACATACTGCGAAAAGGGGAGGCGAGGAGCGAGGGCTGGGCGCGGGGGGCGCGGGGAGCGCGGGGAGCGCGGGGAGCGCGGGGAGCGCGGGTCTGGCCGGGCCGAGCCCCCGCCGTTATCCGGGCGAGGTGCTACCTCCTCGCAGGTGCCGAGGGACGGAGCGCCCATTTGGTCGTGCCCCCCCCCCCCCACGCACACTTGTGGCAGGTCGCGAATGTCCCTTTATCTCGGCAGGTGTAGCATTACTGTTGATGTCTTGGCTTGGGAAAGGCAATTAAGAGGATCCCGCTGCCTTTGGGACCGGAGGGGAAGGGTGGGGTTGGAGGGGGCCGGAGGGGGCGACGAGGGTGACAGGTTGGAGGGCCGAGGAAGCGGGGAGCCTCGGAGTCCGGGGAGTGGGGGGTGCCTGTGTCCCCCCCACCCCCGGAGCCCGGCAGCTCCTGCCCACACACCTCCTTTGTGTTGCAAAGGCGGAGCTGGAGACCCCGCGCGGTGCCGGGTCCCAGCGCTGAGCCTCCCTCCGCATCTCGTCCCCCGAGAGCCCCGAGGGATGCGGGACTCGTTGGGGATCCTCGGCGGCCGGGGGGGGGGGGGGCGGGGAGCGGGGGCAGGAGGTGCCCTGGGGCTCCCGGAGCGGCTCGCGCTCGTCTGCAGCCTCCGCGCGCGCGGGGTCCCCCCTGCCGGGGAGCGGCCGGGGCCGGGGGCGCACGGGCTGCCGCGAAAAATAGCGCGAGTTCGCAGGGGCGACGGCTGCACAGGTGCCTCCTCGGGCTGCTCCTCGGCCCGGGGCGGGGGGGGGGGCGGCTCCGCCCGCCGAGTCCCGAGGGCGCAGCGCGGGGCGCACGGACCGGGTCGCTCGCGCAAGTCCCGGGATGCGCGATGGGCCTCGGAGCGCAGCCACCTGCGACTCCCACGCTCCTCTGGAAGTTCCCCTCCCCGAGGGGTTAGAGACGCCGCGGGCGGGGGGCGGGGCGGCGAGCCCCCAAGGGCCCGCACCTGCCCTCCGCGGCCACTTTGCCTCCGCGCGGGGAGCACCTGGGAGCCACCTGCGCTGCGAGCTGGGTCAGCCCCCGACCCGGGGACCCGCGGACCCGCGGCCGGCAGCGGTTCTACGTGATCCCGTTTTAACCTTGGCGACGTTTCCGAGCACGGTCGAGGTTCCCGTAGCGTGGGCGGCGGGCGCGCGTTCCGGCGGAGGCAGGACACGTGATCGCCCCGACGGGAGAGGCCGGTCCCGGCGCCCGAGTCTCTTTGTTCCGGGCTGAGCCCCCGCGCCCGCCGCCCGCAGCTCGGGCCCGCGGCCCAGGGGGGCTGGAGGGGCTGCCCCCGCCCCCGAGGCGCCCGGGTGGAAGCCAGGCGGTCCTTCCGGGGACGCGGCGGAAAACTTCTGCAGCCCCTGCGCACGTGGGCTCCCGGCGCGCTCCGCCACCTGCCGGCCGCGCCCGGCCACCTGCCCCCACCGCCCCGGGACGCCCCGGGCTCGCTCTGCCAAGGGCTGCAGACGGGGTCGGGGCCGCGTCCCTGCTTCCGAGCATCCTTCAGCCCCCGGGGCCGCCGGAGATGGGGGGGGGGTGCTGCTGGGCTGACGCGGGGGCGCGGGGGTAGCCCTAGTTCTCCACCCACCTGTGCATCGAGGTACCAGACCTGGAGGCCCCCACCTGGAGGCCCTCACTGGGAGGTTCCCCACCTGGAGGCCCCCACCTGGAGGCCCTCACTGGGAGGTTCTCCACCTGGAGGTCCCCACCTGGAGGTCCCCACCTGGAAGCCCTCACTGGGAGGTTCCCCACTTGGAGGTCCCCAGCTGGAGGCCCCCCACCTGGAGGCCCTCACTGGGAGGTTCCCCACTTGGAGGTCACCACCTGGAGGCCCCCACATGGAGGCCCCTACCTGGAGTCCTCGACGTGTTGGCCCCCACCTGGAGGCCCCCACGCGGAGGCCCCGACCTGGAGTCCCCCACGTGGTGGCCCCGACCTGGAGGCCCTCACCTGGAGGCCCCCACCTGGAGGCCCTCACTGGGAGGTCCCCACCTGGAGGCCCCCACCTGGAGGCCCTCACTGGGAGGTTCCCCACCTGGAGGTCCCCACCTGGAGGTCCCCACCTGGAGGCCCTCACTGGGAGGTTCCCCACCTGGAGGTCCCCAGCTGGAGGCCCCCCACCTGGAGGCCCTCACTGGGAGGTTCCCCACTTGGAGGTCGCCACCTGGAGGCCCCCACATGGAGGCCCCCACCTGGAGTCCTCGACGTGTTGGCCCCCACCTGGAGGCCCCCACGCGGAGGCCCCGACCTGGAGTCCCCCACGTGGTGGCCCCAACCTGGAGGCCCTCACCTGGAGGCCCCCCACCTGGAGGCCAATGATTTTGTTTTTCAGCCCATGTTTTAGGCGCCCCCCCCCCCCCCCGTGGGCTGAAGTCTCGCCTGGGGCGGGCCTGCATCGTGTCTGCGTGGCGCTGGGAAGCGCAGCCCATCCCCATGACATATTGTGGAGGGAGACTTCTTTATACATTTTTTTTTATACTTCGCTGTCCAAGAGACGATGGGTGCTTACCATGGCAACCCTTACATCCTCCGTCACGTGTGCCTGCACATATGCGGCTTCAGAATTAGAAACGACTCCTTAAAGAAATAAGCCCGGTCCCGTTACCGTAGCCACGTTTTATTCAGAATTTTAGCACTGCTGCAGGCTTGGCATTAAAATTTTCTTAATTACCATCTTGATCCACTTTATTCCGGAGGCCTTTAATTTTTCTGCGCCCTCCATAAAATACAGAACATAAACCCAAAGTTTTTGTGTGTCTGTATTTTTCTTTGCTTTGGGTTTTTTTTTTTTTTTTTTAATGTGAAGATACAAGTGAATGTCACTAAGGATTTTTATCACTTAGGACAGTCAATAAATACCTTACCCACGTGGAGTTAATTCCCAGGGGTATTCCTTAAATCTCTCGCAGTTTATAGTGCCTGGTAATATTGATAGAAAAACCTGGTCTCTTTAATCATGACTTAAAATGTCCATTCTTTAGGACACTTGAAAATGTGAGGATGCTATGCTTTCACTTGGTTAATGAATAACTTGATAATTGATGTATGAAAATCACACCTACTTATACTCTACTCTTATCTTGAGACGACTGTGGCCTTAGCGTCAGGATGGATCACACATTCCATGATATTATAACTTCCTTCCATATCCAGATTAACACAGCACACAAAGGGTAACCAACTACTAATGAGTTGCCATCTGGGTTACTTCTGGATTCTTCTTACATTTTCTTCTTTCGCATAAATTGTTTGATAAGTTTTAGGAAGTTCTTCATTGAAAGAACATATGCCATCACTTGAGTATAACGATTGCGGCAACCACACCGTCAGTGGAGGACACTGTGTGCAGCATGTGTTCCGTCCAGTAACAATGACTGCTCGGGGGAGCGCTATCCATCTTCTTTTTGGGGCAGTTTAGACAGTCATGTCAATTTGCAGTATGACTCCGGGAAGACCATTAATTCAAATCTGTGACACCGGACAGACCTTTAGTTTGTGCCAAGCCAACTGGCCATTAAGTAGTTCATATTCCCAAGGAAATGATTTGGAGATGACCCCAGGATCTTCTGAGAACCCCGAAGTTCTTTTTTTTTTTTCTTTTTCTCGTGTTCCAGCGCTTAAATCTGAGGGCCACATCACTATTCAGTGGAAAGTTTTTAATCCCTCAGGATTTTTAGAAATGGAATTTTAATATTGAAATGACACTTTGACCATATAGTCTAGTAATTAGATTCTATTCTGAGGAAACACAAAGGCAGGAGATGCATGGAAGGTAGATTTGGCATGTGTGTTAAAATACTGAGATGTGAACTGTCCAGGAAAACTCAAAAGTGGCACTGTACATCAACAGTATTTGGAAGATGATGACCCCAAATCAATCATATTTTTCCTTTATGAAGTTTTTGGCCTTGTTTGGTTAATTAGGTTTGAATCCTTACTAATAATCATGCCTTATGGAGATTACTCTAGTGAATTATCCTGAAGTAGTGAAAGCAGAGTAAGAAAACCTTAGAAAACTAGTTTTATTACTTCCATCATTAAACATGTGATCTTTGGTAATTAGCCTCTTCATGCTGTAAAATGGAGGTAGTAATAATAATAGTAATTTATCATTCTAGTGCATGGCAAATAAGACAAATTGGTGCATGGAAAGTGATTTGGATACTTTTTAGAAGAGTGGGACATAAACTTTTTGATACAAGTCAATTTTTCTATAGTAACCTGTGGGGTGGGGGGTGTTTGTAGGCATGGCATAGTCTATTTTCAAGGTATGCCGTTGAAATAGTTATGCGTAGCTGTTTCCTATCTTGGAATTAAGTGATTATGCTCAGAAATCCGTGAGATCTTTCGTGATCAGAAGCCGTTCCTTGTCATCTTGCTTCCCTTGCCACAGTGCGGGAACCACAATCGTAACAGCAGCTACCAATTACCAAACACCTACCATGATTCAGATGCTTTCCTTCAAAACGGGCTCGTAAGACACATTATTCTCACCATGTGAAAGATTAGAAAATTAAGGTTCAATGACAGAATTGACAAGTCTGTGTCACACAGGTAGGAAGTGATAAAACTTTCAATCCACATTGGGCTTCTTTACCTTTTTCTTCACCCCATGCTCTCTCCCTCACGGGCATTAATTAATACCCGTTAAATGACTGAAATCTGTAGATTATTTCATGATGAATAAAGGGAAACTAGTGTTCTGAACCAGCTTTCCAAAGTTATTTACATATTTAGCCATAATGCACTACATTACTTTGGTGACCACGATTTAATGTGGTACGGAAGCCACCGCTGCTTATCTTCCTGGTAATTAATTCATGACAGAAACATTTAATAAGCTATTAGAATCTGTCATATAAATGTCCATGAAGGAGGTTTTCCATAAGTCAAGTTTGGAGTCAAGGGCTGTCCTGTCTGCTTTGAAACTATGATGATATATTTGATATATAAGCCCCTAGAGAGGTATCACATGTGCTATTTAAATTATTAACCATAATAGAAAATTATCATTTGTTATTCAGTGACACATGGAAAAAATATGAAATACATTTAATAACCCAAAGGATCTCTTGGGTCATTTCATACACTCATTTTCATTACATTGTTCACTGCTTGATAAATTACTTAAAATCTATACAGAATTATCATTTTCCTTTAATACACACGAAGGCAATTGTAGTTACTACGGATGAAGTGTTGAAATTTATTATCGTTGACGTGCTACGGTTAAATATTTTAACAATGGACTCAATGCTTACGTTGTTAGAGGAACTCGTTTACTGACTTTTTAAAGATGTGGTTTCTTCAGTTGTGCCAGGGTATTTTTGCTTTACTTGAAGCTCAGTAAGGTTGAGAGCGTTATTTAACAGCAGAACATAGTGATGCCGTGGCCACAGTAGTAGCATAACAAATTTATTAAGAACAAGGAATTGTAGAATGTGTGTGTGTGTGTCCAGATAGAATTGAATTTTGTGCCATTTAAGAGGTAAACACACGAGATGCTACAGGTTCCAATTCAATTATAAAAAAAAAAAGAGGTAGCTGACCTGAAAAGAGAACTACTGCGAGTGTAAGTGCTATCAGTATTCTTGGCAAATTTTCCTAGGGCGAGGAATGGTGGTACCGTGAAATACAGGAAATGATGAGGAAAAACAGTTAAAAGTGAACTGTTTGGCTTCATTTACCAAGAAGAAAAATCCTAGGTTTTTGCAATACTGTCATACTGAAAGAGATACTTTTGTGTAGTGGCAAAATGTTTTATAGGTGCCTAGCTGCATCATCAAATTATTTGGTAATAGAAGGAAAGGCGAGAAGTGAACTTGCCTGAGATGGTGCCTGAGTGTTACGAATAAGACATTTGTGGCACCTACAAGGTGAGTAATGGACACAAACCTAAAATGTGTCAGCTGAATGTATAATTAAGATGCCATAAATGGTGTAACTAAAATTATTTAAAAGTGCAGATAGTTAGATTTCTTGCATAGTAGTTGCTCGAGCATTCCACGTCTAACGTATTCAACGTTGAGGCTCTTACCATGACTGGGCATCTTAAGCAGGATGCATTTGCACATTAGGCTACATTTTTTTTTTTAAAGATTTTATTTATTTATTCATGAGAGACACAGAGAGGCAGAGACACAGGCAGGCAGAGGGAGAAGCAGGAGCCCATTGCGGGACTCCATCCCAGGACCCCGGGGTCACGACCTGAGCCCAAGGCAGACGCCCAACCCGCTGAGCCACCCGGGAGTCCCTTAGGCTACATATTTTGAGCACTGATATCACCCTGGATATTTACTCTGGTGTTATTCTCAGTCCCTGTAATTCAAGACATGAAAAAATTCTTCTTTCCTCAAGTGTGATTAATTTCTTAAGACAATTATAAAAGCTATTGTAATTAAATCAAATACCTATTTAAACTTTGAGTGATTGTTAAATATTAGCAATGTCCTTAGGGTAATACCATATTGAACATTGGGCGTACCACACACATACACATGCAGCTGTGATTGCTCCATTTTGCAATACACACACACACACAGAGCTATAATCTTCTTATTTCATGATTTCATAACACTGTAGAGATGGCAGGGAGTCTAGAGGGTCTTATTTTACGAAAGAGGAAACTGAGCCCTGCTAAGTTTGTTTTCTTGCTCAAGGGCACAGAGCTGTTAGTGAGAGAAACAGAAACAGAACCAGATCTCTTGGCTCCCAACCTCTGCCAGTTAAACCATGCTCTCGGAACTGTTGGAATCCTTTACATTTGAGGAAAGGGAAATAGGGAAAAGGAGCTTATTAATCCAGTGAACCCAGTTAATGAAAACGGCCAATATGATGACG